ATATGCTTCAGGGAAAAATGATTGTGAAAGTAGTTCATGACAATACAAGGGATAAATCCAGAGATTGTAATGTTTTTATTCAGAAATTTTGCATATCAACTCAAATGTTTAACTTAAAAGATTATTTGTTTGACAACTGCAGGTTTAAGATCATATGCTTTATCGGTTAAAATTTTTTGAATGTATGCCATATGATATTTATGAAATATGGTGTCAATTTGAAACCTTTTGTGTTTTGATACAGAATTATTAGCTCCCCTAAATTATTAGCCCCCTGTTTATTTTTTCCCCAATTTCTGTTTAACAGAGAGAAGATTTTTTTCAACGCATTTCTAAAAATAATAGTTTTAATAACTCATTCTAACTCAACAACTCATTTTTAATAATTGATTTATTTGATCTTTGCCATAATGACTACTTTATATTTTACTAGATATTTTTCAAGACACTTCTTTACAGCTAAAGTGACATTTAAAGGCTTAACTGGGGAAATTAGGTTAACTGGGCAGATTAGGGTAATTAGGCAAGTCATTGTATAATGATGGTTTGTTCTGTAGACAATCAAAACATTTATAGCTTAAAGGGGCTAATAATTTTAACCTTAAAATGTTTTTTTTTTTTTTTTTTTTTTTTTATTAAATACTGCTTTTATTCTAGCCAAAATAAAACAAATAAGACTTTCTCCAGTAGAAAAATATTATTAGACTTACTGTGAGTTCCTTGCTCTGTTAAACATAATTTGGGAAATATTTAAAAAAGAAAAACAATTCAAAGGGTGCTAATAATTCTGATTTCAACTGTATATTGTAGTGGTGTTTGTTCGTGTAAACAAAAATTGTACCTATAGTGTAAAAAAGATTTATAAAAGAAAATGAGAGTGATATACAGCAGTGGTCCCCAACCTTTTTATCACCGCAGACCAATCACTGCTTGACAATTTGACCACAGCCCGGGGGTGGGTGTACATAGATTGCAAGGCGGCCATCAACAATATTCTCAGAGCATAGCAATCTGGTAAAACATTTCTGCAACTCTGATACTAGTTTCATTTATGGAGAAAATTAAAAAGCACTACAGTGTTTGGGTGTTCTGTGCTGGATATTATTGCCTGGACAGTGTGTGCGTATGGATGGATTTGCTCTTCAGTGTTTGGACTAAAACGATACAAAGAAATGTCCACTGTGCTGAGCGAGAGCGCTTCTTACTGAACAGCACATATCGATGACGTAAGTGTGCTCAGGCTCGAATGCAATGTAAGTGCGAGCCGTCGGGGGAGACAGGAGGGGGGACAAGTGTGCTTCAGCCTGGTTCAAGCCAACTGTACATAGTGTGAGTACAACCTAAAACATATGCTGGAATAGTTGGTGGTTCATTCCGCTGTGGCGACCTCTGATAGGAAACTAAGCAAAATTAATAAATTGGATAGTATGTGAATTGGGACGCAGAATCAGTGTTTGAAACAGTTGGTTGAGCAATTTAAGGCCTAAATCCCTTCTTTCTGAGAGTCTACTCTTCTCTGATTGGTCATATGGCCCCATCTGTTGTGATTGGTCAACTGCTTACACTTTGGGAAAAACAACTATTACTGAATTTCAGATTTGCAGCATTTGAAGCAGCCAGTGGTGATCACACACTGGAATTATGCAAATTTGTCTACATTGTCTACATAGGTTTATGCATATTACAGATGTCTAATATATTGACTTTATTTTAAAAGACTCCATTTTCTTTGATCTTTAAAACCGTGCAGACATTTTACTTTCACAAAGAGCCTCATTACACCCTACATGAAAGGGATTATTTTCATGTATTTACTCTGCAGTCCAGACTGTTTATTAGGCTGCCTAATGCAGGACATTTGCATCTCTAATCAAATCATGCTGTGGCCTTATTTTGAATCCAGCCACTCGTTGTTTCTTCACGTCCGACGACGCAATGAAGTTATCGCTTGGAACGGCATGTCTGGTTGGCATGACTGCTGTCACTGAGAGGGTGGAGGTTGGAATGAATGCTTGTGTTTGTGCGAGTGGATTTGAGTCAGTGTATGTTCACTATCTAAAACATCTGCGCTTGTGAAGTTCAGGAGGAGCTCCAGATGGCATACAGACATTTGCCATATTCCTCAAGAGCCACATGCGCTCAAATCTATCAAGGACAGTTGAAACTTTGGTCAATGCATTTGTCATCAAACATGAAGTAAAAATCTGGATATACATAGAGATTAGGGGTGGGAGGGTTCAAAATTGTCGGTTCGGTTTGCATTACAGTTAATTCGGTTTACATTGTAAAAGAAAAGCCCTTATTGTAACATTTAAATACCATTTAGAATTGAGCAATTCCATGCAAATGTCAACTTTGTCATGAAAATAAAAAACTAATTTTCAACAAAATAGCAAAATGTTTTCTACATCTTTTTGTGTAAGCAAGTATTTGCCAGACCTTAAAAAATATTCAAAAATATCTGTCAATGTTTTCAAACAATTATATTTGATCATGCTTTCTCTGTGAATTATGTTCTGAATTTTAACTGCAAATGTCACATGCATATTGCTGGAATTGCTCAGACACTGTGCTTGTTTTCATGTCAATTCAGAGAGTGTAAAAACCTGGGGAAAAGCAGTCATTATGAAGCAAAACACTCAGGATCCACACTACATTATTAATATGCATGCCCCAGAGTACGTGTGATTGGCCATTACATTTCCTAGTGAGATTACAACACTGATCATTACCCTTAGCTTTAAGTTTATTGAGGCTTGTATTAAACATACCATACAGTTGTAGTCAGAATTATTAGCCCCTCCTTTTTTAAATATTTCCCAAACAGAAACAGAACAAAGAAATTTTCATAGTATGTCTGATAATATTTTTTCTTCTGGAGAAAGTCTTATTTGTTTTATTTTGGTTGGAATAAAAGCAGCTCTTAATTAAAAAAAAAATTATTAGCCCCTTTAAGGCAATTTTTTTTTCGATAGTCTACAAAACAAACCATCGTTATACAATAGCTTGTCTAATTGCCCTAACCTGCCTAGTTACCCTAATTAACATAGTTAAGCCTTTAAATGCCACTTTAAGCTGTATAGAAGTGTCTTGATAAATATCTAGTCCAATATTATTTACTGTCATCATGGCAAAGATAAAAGAAATCAGTTTTTAGACATGAGTTATTTAAACTATTATGTTTAGAAATGTGTTGAAGAAATCTCTCTGTTAAACAGAAAATGGGGGGGGGGGGGGGGAAATAAACGGGGGCTAATAATTCTGACCTCAACTGTAAGTTCAACTTTTACTTAAAAAGAACAGTTTTCTGAAGCAGGCGTCTTATCTATTTACAGCTTGTCAGAATGCAAAATGTGGGAGATCCAAATTATAAATATTTTCAGTGCCTCTTGAAGAGTTTTATTGCATCTTTGCTAGTTTATCGTGTATATGGTGAAATTTGTTGCACATGTTTGTAATGAGGCAACATACATGTAAAATGGAGATTTTTTCTATCAGCTCTTACTATCATTTTTCTGGAGTCAAATAATAAGAGTCAATAAAACGCATCAGTTTATGCAGAAATTAATTCCAAAGATAAATCAGATATTAATTCTGGCCTGTGATTTCATATATGATAAAACCATAGACAGTAAAATATATGGACATAGTATCCGTGACGTCACCCATAGGTTTCTGAACAACGCAAAAGCAGCTACAATTATGTTTCAGCGTCATCGCACCGACCACAGAATACCAAACAAGGGCAAAGAGGCGGAGCGTGAGTGGAGCTACAAATGCATGCTGGCATTTGTTTGGCGCTTAATACTTCATTACCTACGACTCGTTTGTGTCCCGACCACATGTTGTGTACTATATCAATAAAGTGTTTAGTCTTTAAAAACACTGTTGTAACACATTAAGCCACTAAGTATTGTTTTTATGATGTTTTTCTACAGGAGGAAAGCGTGAATTACTTCCAAACACTTAAAATCTAGTCTGTGTTTATAAATGCAAGACTATGTATGAAATCCAGCCATAACACTGAATGACAACGTTTCAGGCGATTGCTTTTTAGCCTACAGCTAATCAATCTGTCAGACTCTAGAGTGCTTTACAGATCTAGAGAATATGATAAATGATCTTAAATAAAACAAATACATTCATAGAGATGGTGTAAGTATATAACTTCACTCACCTGGGAAATGGAGGCAACTTGAACGGTTTATAAGCACAATTAAGTGCACTCAGCATGCTATAGTATCTGGTAATTGCAGGAAATAATTCCACAAGGTAACTGACTGTGTAAAGAAACATTAAACAAAACAAAAATACGATGTATGTGCCGAGTTCAGCGGCTAGTAAGGTGACGAGACAGCAAGCAATGAGACCTAGCTGTCACTCAACTGGCCACATCCTTAATTATGCAGACTTAATAAAATGTAATAAAAACGAAACAGAGTTTTAAAAAATTTCACCCCCCTTAGAGTTGTCATGAAGGGTAATATTAGCTACACCGAAGCCGTCTTTTGTACCAGGCTGCAAGCAGGTTTTTATCAGCTGTAAAAATGGCCAATTTATTATTGCAGTCAGAAATGATCTGGATTTCCTGCAGCCAGCCCCTAAAGGCGAGTCCATGAATTGCAGTTATAGTTACTTTCGTATTGGCTTCCCGAAGGAAGGCGGGAGGTTGCCGCTTGGATAGAACTTAAGTTTAATTATTTTGCTTGTGTATTTCAGAGTATAACACAATGTATATGAGCTCATTAATATTCATGACCATTCAAAATATGGTTTAAACTGACCTTTTTTTATTCTAGGAGTAATTCCTGTGGTTGTAAATGAGCATATAAAGGCAGTTCTGTAGAATATTTGCTCTTAACTAAGCCACATACCTACTATGTAGATATTGGATAATTTATGTAACAAGTTGAATTGATATACTCTATGGCACCTTTAAATAGTGAGCTTTTAAATAAAACTACAAATTTTCCATTATCTAAAAAAAATCCTTTCTGCAGGTCAGCAGGGTTTACATGTTGCAGTGGATGGGCACAGCAAGGCGATGAGTGTTTAACACGTAAGTGTCATTTTTCTCAATGTTGGGTCACTTGCTGAGTGTCACTTTACCTGATGTACATCTTGATTTTGTTCTTGTCCACTCAGCTCTCTGTGAAGGTAACTTCACGTGTAATGAAAACGAGGTTTGTGTCCGACCAAACGAATGTCGCTGCCGTCATGGATATTTTGGTGCAAGTTGTGACACAAGTGAGTTTATTTTTTTCATTTTTTTAATTTAATTTCTAAAGATGCACCGTGACTAAAATATTATTTTCATAAATCTATCCATTTATTAAATCTGTTTTGTTTAAATGCATCAAAATACATTGCCTATATTCACTGAGAAATTGATAAAAATCTTCATTTTCAAAATAAAGTGTATATACAGTTGAAGCCAGAATTATTAGCCCCCCTGTATTAAAAACGCCCCTGTTTATTTTTTTCCCCAATTTCTGTTTAATGGAGGGAAGATTGTTTCAGCACATTTCTAAGCATATTAGTTTTAAAAACCTATTTCTAATAACTGATTTATTTTATATCTGCCATGATGACAGTAAATAATATTTTACTTTATATTTTTCAAGACACTTCTATACAGCTTAAAGTGATATTTGAAGGCTTAACTAGGTTAATTAGGTAAACTAGGCAGGTTAGGGTAATTAGCCAAGTTATTGTATAACAATAGTTTGTTCTGTAGACTATCAAAAATAAATACAGCTTAGAGGGGCTATAGTTTTGTCCCAAAAATTACTTAAAAAAATTGAAAACAACTTTTATTCTTGCCGAAATAAAACAAATAAGACTTTCTTCAGAAGAAAAAATATTATCAGTATTATTAATATATATATATTATATTATTACATACTGTGAAAATTTCCTTGCTCTGTTTAACATCATTTGGGAAATATTTAAAAAAGGAAAAAAAAATCAAAAGGGGGCTAATAATTCTGACTTCATCTGTATATATGGTTACAGTACAGAATTATTATAATTATTTTTTTTCTCTTTTTCAAATATTTTCCAAATGATGTTTAACAGAGCAAAGAAATTTTCACAGTATGTCTTATAATTTTTTTTTCTCCTGGAGATAGTCTTATTCATTTTATTTAGACAAGAATAAAAGCAAGTTTAAAAATTTTTAAACACCATTTTAAAAATTATTAGCCCCTTTAGGCAATTTTTTTTCAATAGTCTACAGAACAAACCATCATTATACAATAACTTGCCTATTTACCCTAACCTGCCTAGTTAACCTAATTAACCTAGTTAAGCCTTTAAGCCTTTGATGCACTACATGGGCTAAAGTGACTCGTCCAAGTTTATTTTTTCTATATCATCGAAGGGTAAAATTTAAGTTGTATATTAGTGTCTTGAAAAATATCTAGTCTAATATTATTTACTGTCATCATGGCAAAGATAAAAGAAATCAGTTATTAGAAATGTGTTATTAAAACTATTATATTTAGAAATGTGTTGAAAAAAAAATCTTCTCTCCGTTAAATAGAAAACAGGGAAAAAATAAACAGGGGGGCTAATAATTCTGACCTCAACTGTATATAATAATCCATTCAGCTACCTAATTTCTCAGTAACTTGCCTCTTTTGCTTGGACAATATAATCTAAAACCTGTGCATGTTTTTTTTTTCTCTCCCCCAGAGTGTCCTCCTCAGTTCTGGGGTCCAGACTGTAAAGGCATGTGCACATGTCACCCTAACGGTAAATGTGACGATGTGACCGGGAAGTGCACATGCTACCCAAATCGCTGGGGCGAGAACTGCGAGCATCCCTGCACCTGCCAGAGAGGAAAGTGTGACCAGGAAACGGGCAAATGCACCTGCCATGTGGGTTTCTGGGGGCCGCAGTGCAACAACAACTGCTACTGCAGCATCAACTCAGTGTGTGACCAGAACACAGGCCGCTGCATCTGTAATCCCGGCTGGTTCGGGAGAAACTGCGGCGCTCAGTGTACGTGCAATAACTCACCCTGTGAGCAGTTCACAGGCCGCTGCCAGTGCCGAGAGAAGCTCTGGGGTCAGCGCTGCGAACGGCAGTGCCAGTGTGGGCATGGGAAGTGTAACCAGGCAGATGGATCATGCACTTGTAAACCCGGATACAGGGGGAAGCTGTGCCGTGAACCATGTCCAGCTGGACTGTATGGACAGAACTGCAGGAACAAGTGAGGAAACATTTTATACAAATATACAGATTTTCTTATGTTACAGCCTTATTCCAAAATGGATTACATTCATTTATTTCTTCAAAATTCTACTCACAATACCCCATTATAACAATGTGGAACAAAGTTTTTTTTTAATTGTTTCAAATGTATTAACAATAAAAAACCTGGAAAATCACATGTACATCAGTATTCACAGCCTTTACAGTGAAGCTCTAAATTGAGCTCAGGAACATTGTTTCTGCTGATCATTTTTGAGATGTTTCAGCAGCTTAATTGGAGTTCACCTGTGGTAAATATAGTTAATTTGACATGATTTGAAAAGGCTTACACCTGTCTATATAAGGTCCCAGGGTTGACAGTGCATGCCAAAGCACAAACCAAGCGTGAAGACAAAGGAATTGTCTGTAGACCTCCGGATACAGGATTGTCTCAAGGCACAAGGCTGGGGAAGGTTACAGAAAAATTTCTGCTGCTCTGAAAGTTCCAATAACCACAGTGGCCTCCATCATCCTTGTGGAAGATGTTTGGAACCACCAGGACTCTTCCTAAAGCTGGCAGGCCATCTAAGCTGAGTGATCAGGGGAGAAGGGCCCTAGTCAGGGAGGTGAATAATAACCTGATGGTCACTCTGTCTGAGCTTCAGCGTTTTTCTGTGTAGAGAGGAGAACCTTACAGAAGGACAACCATCTGTGCAGCAATCCACCAATCAGGCCTGTATGGTAGAGTGGCCAGACAGACGCCACTCCCCGCCTGGAATTTGCCAAAAGGCATCTGAAGTACTCTCAGACCATAAGAAACTAAATTCTCTGGTCTGATGAGACTAAAATTGAACTCTTTGGAGTGAATGCCAGGTGTTTCGCTTGGAGAAAACCAGGCACCGAACATCACCAGGCTAATACCATCCCTACAGTAAAGCAGCATGGTGGTGGCAGCATCATGCTGTGGGGATGTTTTTCAGCAGCAGGAACTGGAAGACTAGTCAGGATAGAGGGAAAGATGAATGCAGCAATGTACAGAGACATCCTGAATGAAAACCTGCTATAAAGTGCCGTTGACCTCAGATTGTGCCGATGGTTCATCTTCCAGCAGGACAATGATCCAAAGCACACCGCCAAAATATCAATGGAGTGGCTTCACAACAACTTTGTGAATCACCTTGAGTGGCCCAGCCAGAGCCCAGACCCAAATCCTATTGAACATCTCTGGAGAGATCTGAAAATGGCTGTACACTGTCGCTTCCCATCCAACCTGATAGAGCTTGAGAGGTATTGCAAAGAGGAATGGCCACAAAATCCCAAAGACAGGTGTGCCAAGCTTGTGGCATCATATTCAAAAAGACTTGACGCTGTAATTGCTGCCAAAGGCACCTCAACACAGTATTGAGCAAAGGCAGTAAATACTGATGTACATGTGATTTTTCAGGTTTTTTATTTGTAATAAATTTGCAACAATTTCAAAACATATTTTCCACATTGTCATTATGGGGTATTGTGTGTAGAATGTTGAAGAAATAAATGAATTTAATCCATTTTGGAATAAGGCTGTAACATAAAAATGTGGAAAAAGTGAAGAGCTATGAATACTTTCTGGATGCACTGTATTCACCTCTTACATGCATTATAGAATATTGCATGAAAAAATGCTTAATAAAACCACCAAAATGCCCATGTATTTTGAAAATGCACATAAAAAATGTCCTCAACTGAGTAGGATAAAGTCTTTGGGCTTTATTTTAACGATCATCATAGCGTGCATTAAACCAATCAGATTCTCATCTCCCATTCCCTTTGGGAGTTGAGTCAGTTGCGTCACACCATGGCCCATTTGCTATTTACATGTTGGAAAACTGAAAAACTGTACGCTTCACTAGCGAGAAAACCGTTAAACTTAGCTTCAGCAGGTTAGTTTACTCCTTTACTTTCGTAGATAACCGAACAGTGTTGTACGCAATCCTCTGAAGACATCCATTTGCCTACATATTTAATTTTGTTTGTTAAGCGCAACGGTTTGTTTTAAAACAGTTTCTAAATTCAGTTCTAATTTCTTAATAATGATAAAGTATGATCAAAAAAACTTGCTTTTATTGAAGCAAATATAAATATGCATATAATAATACTGCTAATAATAATAACATTAAACAAATGCAAATTGTGAATAATAAACTGTAAACACATCTGAATTGCTGTTTTAGTCTTTCCAAAATCCCCCAGCCAAAGCCTGTCTTCAAATTGGTTCAGTATTATTTGCTCCAAAACTGTGTTGGGCGTCTGCGCTCCTAAAAAAATGTCTCATACCTCCAAAAGCCACCATGTCTTCATTTTTTTTTGTCTTCTGAGGCACAAGTAATGTATTATGTATGAAAAAAGGCTGACAGTGGCTTGTACTACTGCAGCAAATTCCATTTTTCTTTTTGATATTTGGTACCAGTTTATCAGGAGGACACGATTAAGTTTTTTTACTTTGTTTTTACATTTGTTTTCATTCACTAATGTTTTATGCAATATTCCAGTTGTAAGCATAAAAAAATGAACATCTTTGGGTGGAAACAGACGTAATCTGAGAATTTAACTGAAAACAAACAGGATGTGTATTTTCAGATTTCAATTCTAGATTACAAGGGCAAACTTTTTTTTTTCTCCTAATGACGTCCACAGATGAATTGTTCACCACAAAAGTACAGTAGCAATGTGAGCTAACAAAATCATATGGTTAGTTTTGATTTCATTTATACTCTAAAGAGATAAATTGCATTTTGAAATACATTAAAATAAAATACATTAAGAGAAAAAACAAAGAAGCTTTGCATCAAAAGATTAAACTACTTTTCTATATACTGCATATTATAATATTACACTTTCCAAATTTTAGTAGATTTTTTTTTTGATCAGCAGTGCATTTGCAGAGCTTTAAATTCAAATGGTTTTATAGCAGTACCTTGCTCTCTTCGTTTTTGGCTGACCGTATGTGCTCCCTTTTCACTTGTTTCAGATGTGGTCACTGTAAAGGTCAGCAGCCCTGTAAGGTGACAGAGGGTCACTGTGAGACTTGTGA